CTCTCTAACCATGTTCTGTTGTTTGCTTTCGTCTCCACTTTCTACCCACACCCTCACCTCCATTTGCCTTCTCCTCTGGGCTCCTGACTCTTTCTGCAGCCTTTCTACTGCTACTCCTTGGCTCTATCTTACTGCTGTCTTTCAGCCACACCCCTGAACTTAAGGTAGGTAAGATTTAACACCTAGACTTCTCGGATAAGGGTGAAAAATCTCGGAGGTCTCGTGAGCAAGTTGCGCATCTTAAAGATCCCTTGGTGATCCAAAATTGATAAGAGTAGGTTCTGCCACCAACTGGACAAATTCAAAAATTAATTCCTACTAAACTGAAAATGTTTCATGTGTCCCGAGCGCTCATATATGACCTTCCGCAGTTGCAAGCTCCCTAAAACAGTTATCAAAACAAAGAAAGATATTAAAAGAAGTAGAGCATACCAATGGTGCCCTCCAACCACCCACTCCTGGAAACAGATGCTAAACTTGTCAGCACCTAAGAGAAGATGTGTCCATACTTATCTTTTTTACGTAAATCACATTTATATGGGGTTTGGGTAAAGAGGAGAAACTAGACGCAGCTGGGTATTGTTAAGGAAAAAAGATAAACTGATGACAGAGACAGAAGGAGAGTCCACTGGGGTTATTGACCTTAACCATAAATATATAGGATATGTAAAGTTAAAATTTTCCAAGACTGCCACCCACTGTTGAGGAGAAAAATGGTTGTCAAACAGGTTAACATTTTGGACAGTGTGATTATAATATTTTTTTAAAACGAGGAGGGAAGCAGTGATTTGCTCAGCCTTGTTTGTAGGTGATTTCACGTCCACATTGACAAAATTTCGATCATTTGGGAGGCGGGCTTCCAACCTTGCCTGTCAGAGCCAACCTAGGCTGAAGGGGATATGCCTAGCAGAACAAAAAGACCGAAATTCTTGATAAATATTCTCCTGACTCAGGAATCAAACTCAGGTCTCCTTCATGTGATAACAAAGCTCCGGTGCACAGTCTTGGTCAGGCAGCCTAAAGGCTGCTGTAAACAGCAGTTTCAACTGTAGTTATTATAGTATAGTACCGTTATTTTAATGAGTCGTCCCAAACTCAAAAGGACAATTTTTACAAAATTATTTTTGAGTAAGCAGCATATTGACACAGTAATTTGAGTAATGGTCAATTAGTACTGGGAAAAAGTAAGACAGACAGAAACAACAAAGGGAAATTAAAGTAGTAAGACCTAACAGTAACAGTGGCACCCTCCAACCACTCACTTTTGACTTGAAAGTGATAATCTGAATGTTTAATACCAACACTCACAAACATTTCACTGCACAGAATCAGTTAATCTTTTCATGAAAACTTTATTCTCAGGTAGTGGAGAAGATATTAACACAAAAGGAAAACGGTTCAAAAGACTCGCTTGCACATTTCTAAACAGCTATTTGCTCACAGGCACACAGCTTTTCCCTCTCAAAAAAAAAGCTGATGGCCCATCGGCATACAACTTAGTTTTAATCTCAACCCACCACATATCATTTCTTGGCAAACACAGGTACTTCCCTGAGGCAAAACTTCTATGCTTCTGAACAAAAGTGAAAACAGGTTCTCACTCTTATCCACAGGTCACAGCACCCTCTGTCTCACCAAAACATTTATTCCACAAAGCAACAACAGTCTTCATTCAGGCAATCATAGATTCACTTTCGAGCAAAATGTCATTAAAACACTTTGCAAATTAAATACCAATTCCTAATAAAAAGCAAATAGAGCTAGCTATTCACTAATTAATGAGTACAACAACACCATTCACTGAAAAGTGAACAGAAATCAACAAACACATAGAGACAATATTTTAGCAAATATAAAAGTGCTGCTTACCAGTAAGCAAATAGCTATTTGCTATCAAGTCAACTACCAAAATAATCAATACCACAAACAGTCATTAAGTCACTCTTTCACAATCTGCACACAGTGACTAAGGTTGGAAGTTACAAATTCAATGCAATAGAACTTTTATATTTGGACGGAATAAGAAAAAAATGCATTTCTCAAGATAATAATATAAATAGAGGTCTCTGTATAGTCCAGGTACTTCTGAACCTCCAATGGACATCTCCATTGTACAAGTAAAGATGACACAAGACAATGCTACTTGATAGTGGCACAGGACAATGACTCATATGACAGTGACATATTATATGACAGTGAAAGATAGCAGTAACACATGACAGTGACATAGGATAGTGTAACACAGTACTGGAACATGACAGTGAAACACGATGGTGACATATTACAGCAGTGAAACATACGAGTGACACATGACAAATATAATGTATGAAAGTGACACATGGACTTACTGTTCATAGACAAGCTCAGAACAGATTTTTACCAAACTTCTAATGACATCTCAAAGATGAGACACACATTTTATACATGACATTAAACAGATGAGACACAACGACTTTGTTAGGATTGAAACAGTACACTCCAAAGCTTACATAGGACAAAAACTAAGTATTTGTGAACATTCTGCGGGTCAAGATGTACTTTGACAAATATGAAAATATGTATCAACTCTGATGAATGGAGGTTTGAGAAAACAATGTCTAGTTCTATGGGGGAGGGGGGGGGGGGGGGGGCTTTTCCAAACAAAGACATTAACTGTCATAATAATAGTAATAGTAATAGATCGCATAAATTGCATAGCGCAAATTCCCGCTCAACAGCAAGCTCTTTGCGCTTTACATCTATATCAATACCCCAGCAAACCTGATATCATTCTGACCCAATCGCAAATTCCTGGGAAGCATACAGTGCATTCACTGGAAACACTGTTACCAAACCAACACAAAAAGACTTGGTGATAAAGCTAACTTTTTGAGGTATCCAAAAGGTTCTTTTAAACTAAATCAGTGAAAAGAAACTACATGCACAGTCGGGCACAGATAACACAGACTTGACAAGGAAAACTCAAAATCGCTGAGAGCTCACACAGTTTGCCATTCCCCAACTGATACCTCTCTTTAATTTTTCATTATCGTTTAACCCGAATTATGGATGTGTCAAACACATTTTGAGACACTGAATTACAAAGTTCTATCTGCCCAGTGTCTTGTTTTGAGAAATTTGAAGTAAAAAATTTTGAGTTTCACAATATGTCAAGCTTTTTCAAAGGCAATTCTTTGAGGATCTTGACTAAGACTTCAAATAATCTTTCAAAATTTTGATAGGGCAGATAGAACAATTGGTTTCTGACCTCATGATCTTAGTGACTCAAAATGGCCAAAAATGTCAGATAAAATTTTGTAATTCTAATACGGGGTGCCCACTACGGCTGGATCGGGCCGATCGCCTGACTCGATCGCCTGAAACTGAAAACAAACATGTTTGTTTTTGAGGCGATCGAGCCGGGCGATCGGGCCGATCCTATCCGTAGTGGGCATCCCGTATAAGACAGCGATTTGTCAATCTCTGACGTGTTTGGAGTTATCCGAGCCCGACTGTACTCACGTTAGGTGATATACCGTATGACCCACAGTTCTCCTTTGAGGCGTCGCTTGTCAAACAATTACCACAACCACAACAACAACAACAACAAACCTACTGAGCAAACAGAAGTCAGTAAAAACTGAGGGCAATCATAATACATATATACATATGAATAATATGTAAATAGAATAAATATATTATTTCCCTTGTTTAGCACGCAACTGGAATGTGCATACATGGACGGCATCAGCTGATGGCTGGGTCTGTAGAACTGACTTGCAGACGTTTGGAATGGACATTTAATTAAATATATTGCACAAGGCTGGAATGTTTGGCTTCTCCTGGGTTCTGAGGCAATAAACAAATTACAGGGAATCTTCTGACCAGTTATAGAGCGCTTTCCAGTGTATTCCGGATATTTAGCTTTATACTTGTAGGTGAATATGAACTGATTCAAAAACTTGTCTCTAACAAAATTTAGTATTCACATACACTTCCTCAAACATTTTTTGACAATTTCAAAAGACAAAATTGTAGAAATAGAAAAAGCATTCAAGAATTTCCGTGCATTATGCTTACATGTTGAGGAAATTCAGTCACAAAGGGGCAAAGTGGTCAGAACAAAAAAAACGTATTGTGACATCTGATCATGATTTTAAAAGATCTAAAAATACATTACATATATATAAGTTGAAACCAACCAAAAAAAGAACGGATTTTTCGTTCAAATTCCAGTAAATAATAACGGACTATAGGATCGTCTCTGACTCCTGTACAATAAGTCAATAAGATTGTCGAGAATTTGACGATGTGATAAATGGTTTAACAGGCATATTATCCCAACTGACAGTGGACAAAACTGTAAAATTCAGAGGGCTTTTATTTCCCTGAGGTAAAAGCCTTCAAAAGTGGACATGGCATGTCATGTTCCACAACAGGGAGACATTGGAAGGACTTCCTAATAATGCACAGTAACTCAAGTTGACTTACAAAATACAGTCACAGATTTGCTTTTTAAATAAATAAGAAAAGAAAGAAACTTGGAAATATAAAAAATAAACATTGGCAAGTGGACAAAAAAGAATGCTGACTTAAAATTTAAACAAGTTTAGCAAAGTAAGTAAACCCTGTCAACCTATAACAAATCTGTGGCTCATCATTCAAAAATCAAGAGTCAGAGTGATTTTAGCTTTTCCCACACTCTAGGCTTGTTTCACCTTTAGTTGAGAAGGGACAACAAAAGCAGGCTGGTACAAATGTGTAAGATGATACGACTTGCCAGCTCGTAATATAACACGTTATCCCTCACTCACATTACGCTCAGATTGACTGCTTAGTGTAAGACTCCGCCATATGCCGTATTGAAAAGATGAATATGATAGAGTTCTACCTATTCTGAGCAGTCGACAAGGATTCTAAATAATCGCAGTGTTCCAAATTCTCCCCCCCCCCCTCCCACCCCCGATTCTAAATAATTGCAGTGTTCCAAATTCTCCCCCCCCCCCCCCTCTTTTTTTCCCCCATTTTAAAGGAAACGAGACTGTAGAGCTCAGGGGTGAGCAGGTTCACCTAACTCAGTATGCAGAGCAAACATGACACAGTGTTAACAGCAATAAGCCTCCCCACAGCTTAAACATGTCATTTTGCCACAAACAGTACCCTTTAAGAAAGAAAAGATCACATGAGCTTTTAAAGATACATAAATAGTCAGAAAAAAATAAGAATACTGTGTTGACAAAACATAAATAAATAAATAATGGTCCATTTAATTTAAGACCCTGCAAATTACAATTCAGTCTGCATCAAGGCCCAATGTAGTATGACCCATTTATGGTTGTAATTTAACCTTCCTTTCAAGACCATCTTCCTTGAAATCTTTCTCAAGTACAAAGATTAAAGTTTTAATCCAAGATATCAAGTTACATCATCTTCTCTTAAACTTTTAGCATCGGGACATTTGATTAGCATACAATTCTACAACAATGACAGAGCAACTTACTTTATCAAAGAATAAAAATTATAGTTGAAAAAAAAAAGAAAGGCATTCCATGCTGTGGTCTTTCTCACATTTCAAACTATGAATTGACAATATAGTCTAAAGAAACTGAGAAGATGTAAGATAACTGTGAAAGGGTACATTTTTTTCAAAATATGATTAACTTCTCTGACAAAATAAAGTTAATACGGAGATAAATTTCAAGTAAATGAAATAGTAGCTGTAACACAGTCCAACAAGGAAGACCAGGTCTTCGGAAACAGTCTCATTATTGACCGAGGTATCATCGTTTAATTCTCTGAAACACCCTTCATCTCAACCTTTCTTGTACATTTTACACAAATTTGTCTCTGCCCTAACTACATGAGAACAGGACTTGCGACAGAACAACACAAAACCACAGCCGGATGAATAAATAGTCTGTATCACAAGGCTAAGTTAAACAACTCAATGCCCACATGGCCATCACGCATAGAGTGGTGACGTGACTCAATACATTCTCTCTAATACAACACACACAAACACACACACACATACACATACACACACACACACAGTCTCACACACACACACACACACAGTCTCACACATGCACACACACACAGACACACACACACACACACACACAGTCACAAACGGATTAGGCATGTTCTTACTATAATCATCAAAGCCATTGTGTTTTCTCTAATGACACAACACAGAGAGGAACTGTGACAAAGGACAGTTAATTGTCTTTGACAGACGGAATATTTTGCAAGGAACTGGGAACTAATGCTTTTAATGGGTCAGAAAGGTGACATATATATATAGCTTTATATGACTATGAACATGAACAAATGTCAACAAGAAATCTGTGTTTTATGTCTGTGAAATATTTACAAAAATACAAACCATGATTACACACAAGCATATGCAAAACATGTGCACACACTCTCACACACACTCTACTTATTATCTGCACTCGTTTCGTTTATAAGTACAAAAGCAAAGAGCTGTCACATCGTCAAAGATACAACACAAAGCTCTCTGCAGCAGTTTCAGTCTGCTCTGCTAGATAATACCCAACAGTGCCTCAAGACTCCTGTATTTACTTTCCCTCCAGTCATACAAAAAGACAGTAGTTGAAAGGCAAACAAAAAGTCTTCAGAGGATATTATGAACAGTTTCGCGACAAAAAGCGACATATCCATTTTACCGGTTTTGAGAAAAATGAAGACTTCTGTTCTTCGCCTATTTACAGAATAATCTTGAGTAATTTTGTTTTTAGAATAAACAACATCTAAAGCTTAGTTGATCATTGATATTTGTTGTATGATGAAATCTATGTAGGATTTTTATCCTTTAAATTGATGCCATCTACACAAAAAATGTGACATATCAACATTACAATAATAAGAAAGGAAAAATAATTGGCACCAAACTTGAAGAGAGAATTTGATTCGCGCACAGAGAATATGTTGCGGTTTGTCAAAAAATAAGATCTATTGCTGTTTTGTATTTTTAAAAAAGCGTTTCTGCACTTCTTTAAAGAGGAAAAAAATAATCAGTTTGGTGTAAAAAATTAATTAACTCTGGAATGTTCTTCATCTTTCTACGTATGACAGTAACAGCTTTGGCCAAACTTCAAAAATGGCATTTATCGCATTTTGTCATCAAACTGTTCATGTGTTCCCAGGAAGCTGAAGGAAGTATCAAAGTAATTGTTGTTTTTTTCCCTTTCAACAAAAACAAATCTTCATGACTTAAAGAAATATTTCATCATAAATTTCTTAAGTATTTTTACATCCATGATTTTAGCACACTAGTATACCTTTGTCACTTTGACGAAATTAAGTCAGAGTTCAAAGTAGCAGAATGAGGTAACCAGGGCGCCCCACTGTTTTTCTCAACAATCAATGGGAGACAGTCAGTTAAGACTCCTCACTTTAATATATTTTTTTCTATGGATGTTGCAGAGGTAAATGTACAACCAATCAGTCAGATAAAGGGCTAAGTCTAAGCACAGAGCAGGAATACGCTTGACACATGTAGCACACACAAATAATTCTGGTCTTTCATAAGACAAGACAAGATTATCTTCACAATAAGTGCTGTCTAAATGTCTCTAGGCGTAGTCACAATTAGGCTATCCATAATAGTTTCTTATATTAGGCTTCATAATACATGAACAACACAAAATATTTCTACTTTTATCATGGCAAGGCAAGTACGTCCATTCAACATGCAATGAGAGAATGAGAGAACATACTCATTCTGAGAAGCCAGCCTTAGTGCATGGGTTTAACGTCCCTATCAACACTATTAGGTTATTTAAGAGGCAGGATCTCTAAATTTAAATACCAAGCCAAACTGCTTGAGAGCCTTGGAAACGCCACAAAACAACCTGAATTCAAGAATGCTCAGTCTAGGATTCAAACCAGACCCATCCGCTCCATAGTCCAGCATGACACCAAGTGAGCTATCATCAAAGCCGTGAGAGTGAGATAGTGAGAGAAAGAGAGTGAGAGAGAGAGAGAGAGAGAGAGAGAGAGAGAGAGAGAGAGAGAGAGAGAGACTTGTGTCATGTCACAGACAAGGGGAGAATAGAATTCTTTTCCAACATCAGGGACTGTTTAAAGGCAAACAACTCCATGAGTTTTAAAAATATTTGCACACAAATATACATGGTCATTTCAGCTACCTACGGAATTATTTCAACTTTTCAGTGTAAGACTGTTCATTTGTGGGCATGGCCAAAGATTGACCAACTGAAACATGATGTGAAGGTTCACACAAGGGTTCCTGTTCACGCATCATGAAAACTTCTGAGAACTCAAAAATGATACGAACCATTCTATCATGACTATGCAACATCTAACAACCCCCCCTCCCCTCCCAAGTGTGTGCAAGAACCATTGAGAGCTATGGACGAGAGACAGAGAGCAGCAGCGAAAGGCTTGCCCAGCTGGACATAACGTGGTTAGGTTATGCATAGCTATTCAAAGTGGACCTGCATTAAAAGATCTCTTCAGTTGACTTATGGGATTCGTTTTCATTTTAATCGCAAATCAGGTCTTGAAAGTTCATAACTTTTGTTCTGTGAGGAGGCTATACCAGAAAACAGAGAATACGTATTTTCCAATAGGAATACGGACTTCTGTTTTCAGACCATCAAAAATGTATTAAATACATTTTTAATGTACAAGTTGGCAGCTGTGTGTTTGTACGGGTTTGGCCTCACGTCGCGGGAGGCAGGGTCGTCTTGTAGTAGCCACACTCGTCCAGTGCTGCCTCAAGAATGGTCTGCATATACTCGTATGTGATCCCCACATCTTTATAATCTGGGTCATACTGTGGTGTTGCTGGGAATGCAAATACACAACTGGTTAGTTTTAGTTTTAGTAAGAGTTTTACGCACTTGCAACACAATAAGGTCATAGACATATATGTGCTGCAGATTAGATGTGCTACAACACTAGTGATGAGGCAAGTTCGTTTGCTTGAGTAAAGAGTAGCTCATCAAAACAATAAAGGCCACATAGCAGTGGGGAAAAACAAAGACTGACAAAAATAACAGCAGAGGGGGATGTACCTGACAGTATGGGGAGAGACCAAAGAGTTTACATATAATACTACTGCTTGCTCTCAAAAAAGTACTCACTGGTCTGTTGAACTGCCCATGTCTTGCCCTTTAGGTTCAGCATCCCAGGGTGGACACAGGCAGCCCCTGTTCATTTACACAGGGGACATCACTGCCACAAACTATAGTACTAAATATAACCTCTTTGGGAGAGATTAAGTTAGTAAGTACATGATTAGGGCAAAAAAATACTTACCAGGCTTGTCGGGATCAATAGGAGAGTCCAGCTCTCCATTAACAGAGCTTCTCTTCAGACATTCCAGGGGGCCAAGGTTAAGGTCAATGAGGTCGCGGGAACCTTGCATGAGCTGAGGAAGGCAAAAGACATTCTCACAACTGACTTGCGAACCCCAGGGAGACAGTAACTTGGGAAAACCTTGAGTTCATAATATGTGTGTATATATGCCGGGAAAAAGGTCCCAGTTGTCGCCAAAATTATTTTTGAGCAATGGGGCGAAAAGGCCAAAAAAATCATACTTGGTCAAATACTTAGTTCCATCAGAAAACACATGTTTAACTATTTCTTAATAACATATTGAAAGAATTTTATAATATTTTACATCTAAATATTTTCTATCAGTTATTTTTGCAACACGTTGTACTTTAACCAATGGTTAAAAATGTGCTAGAAATTTGGTTTTTCCCCAAACTTTATTTTTACACCCTGTGTTACAAAAAAAATGGCATACTTTGACCACAATTCAATCTGGTCTGAAAACACATTTATTTAAATCTCAGTTCACTAACTAGTTCTGTTTTCTTGCAACAGCAAATGCGATAAGTAGCCGCAGTGATTGTCTTTTTGTGTATGCGTTATTTGTCAGATTGCGAGTATATATATTAGGGCCTATGTATTTGAAAGAATTGCTGTACGTTGAATGGACCAGTAAGCATGAAACATTGACTTAAATCTTTATTGTATTGTGAAGCACCTAGAGCCACCACGGAGTGGGCGCAATTAAAATTATCTTTATTATAAATTTTTAAATTTAAAAAAAATTAAAAAATTATTACTATTATTATTATTATTATTATTATTATTATCATTATTATTATTATCCATGCTCTGCAGCAAGCTCTATGCGCTTTACAAGTTTTATTACCCCAGCAGACCCTGGGACACTCAGAAACATACTCAGCTTCCTGGGAAGCACACAGTGCAAGATGCAGATTGCGTGTGCAAAAACACAAACAGACTGACAAGATCTTTTGCTGTCTATAGCCAAGTACCCATTTCCACCTGGGTGAAACAGGGAAATTTCCGGTAACGTACCTTTCCCAAGGACACAACATCACACCCCTGGAGAGATTCGAACCCATGACTTTATAGTCGCAAGTCTTAGAGCCTAACCACAAGGCCACCAAAGCCACACAAATCATCTACAGTACTCACAGTATTTAGGGTACATAACGTAACACATAAACCTGTTATGACAGACAAAAACTTTTTTCCAAAGTACAGAATTTGAAAAACAGTGGGTATTTCAGCTCACATGAGAAAAATGACAAAGTTAATTACCTTCATCATTTCGTTCTTCAGGTTGACTGCAGAACTATGAGGGGAAAAGAGAGCTCGCTTGTACTGTTCAATGATTCTCCTGTTCGAATTAGGGCTCAGGGTTGGAGGAAGCTATTGGGGAAAATAATATTTTTTATTAGGTAAGGTTAGACACAAATGAGAGAGATAAGACAGCTGGTAATGATATCAGTGGAGTTCGCTTAAACCAAACACAGTTAATCCGAAAACAGCGGTAAGCAGAAAAAAAAGAAAATCCCGGGGTTTTTTTTCTTCTGTTTTAGCAACCTCTCTCAATTGAAAACCCGACTAAACCAAAGAAAATTTGGGCGGTCTCACCGATTTAGGTTTAAGCTAACTCCACTGTATGTTGAAACATCCGAGACAACAACAGAGATTACAGTGTAGAAAATTCCTGCCCTTACTTTTCTAACAAGATAGTGCAAGATTATACAGTCAGGTACCGAAAACACGAACACGGCAAACTTGAAATCATAAATAGCTCGAACAATTTGCCATCCCTCGACTGATATCTCTTTAATTTTTTTTATTTTTGGTTAACTAATATCATGGACGAGTCAAACACATTTGTGTCAATCCGCGACGTGTCTGAGTTATCCGTGCCTGACGGTGTAAACTAATGTCACATCACTCTCTCCCACAAAATAAAAGTGGGTGGTTGGCGGGTGTTCTGGTGTTGTTTGCTCCTTCTTTCCTATCAAACAACTATCTTCTGTATCTCTCCTCCTTCTTTTTTATGTTTGTTACTCTCTTGCAAAACCTCTAATCTTCGTCACTTATATGACCTGGTTGTGTTGCAAGTGCCGTAAAATGCTTACTAAAACTTAAATAAAAGTCCCCAACAGTGGGAGTGGACACAGCCCAACAATAGAGACACAGACATGCAAAGACCAACACTCAACAAAAACACTGACCAAATAGAATTATCTATAAAGTGATTAAATACTAATATAGCACCTATCAAATCTATAGAGAGTGATATAGGTAGGTTTGTACAGAAGTTCACATACTCCTTTTTTCTTCTATGTTACCATAAAAAAATAACAAAATGGCAACATCAGCTTTATCAAACTCCACGGGGGAAAAAAAAGACCAAAAAAAACAACAGGACATGACTTTCAATCAATGTTCAAAGTAAAGACAGAGAAACAGAATACAACCAAATCCCCCCCCCCCCCCCCCCCCCTTCCCAAAGGACTGTTGGGAAAGACAAGGAGTGTGACCTATTCCACTGTCCAAAGCGCAAAAACAGCAAAGCTTAGCAGAGTTCTTTAATTCTTGAAAGTATTTTACTACACTTGCAACACAATCAGGTCATAGTGCCAAAGATTAGAGGTGTTATAAGAGAGAAAGAAATACAAAAAAGGAGGAGAGGGAAAAAAAAGACGATAGATGTTTCATAGGAAAGCAGGAGCAAACCACACCAGAGCACCCGCCAATCACCCATTAGCAGAGTTCCTGCTATGTCAAAATTTACAGAAGAAGTGAATTGTCAACAATTATGACATACCCCTAACCCAAATGAAAAAAACCAAACAACCTACATGTCCCTAGATAAATGCATTAAAAAAAAAATATATAGGTGTTTTTATGCCCTCATCAATACAATTTAGATCATTTAGGAGGCGCGCTTCCGACCCTGCACCACCAGCAACAACAACAAGATCACCACCAACAACAACAACAAAACAACAAAAAGAACAAAACAACAACAATATAAACAAGAGTGTGTCTCCACCTGTGTGATGTAGATAAGCTTGTGCAGCTGGTGTAACATCTGCTGTACTGGGTCTGAGATCTCACGCATCCGATTGGGCGACACCGTCAACATGGCCGCACTCCCTGAAAAAGAAAATAATAATAATAATAGTGGTAGTAATAATAATAATAATAATAATAATAATAATAATAATAATAATAGTAGCAATAATAATAATAATAAAATAATAATAATAATAATAATAATAATAATAATAATAATAATAATAATAATAGTAGCAGTAATAGTAATCATAATAATAATCATAATAATAGATAACATTTGTATAGCGCAAATTCCCGTTCAACAGCAAGCTCTACCTGCTTTACAATCTGTATTATTACCCCAGCAGACCCGATTGCATTCTGAAATAATCTCAACTTCCTGGGAAGCATACAATGCAAGCTGCCATTTTATAGGCGCTAAAGCACTAACATACTGACAAGATCTTTCACAGTCTATGGCTGAGTACCCATTCCTACCTGGATGAAGTGTTTAGTTTTAGTAGAGGTTTTGCTGCACTCGCAACTGCATAACGTCGGATGAGCGCCAGAAGATAAGAGGTGCTACAAGAGAGTAACAAACATAAAAAAGAAGAAGGGGAGATAAGGACGATAGATGTTTGATAGGAAAGAAGAAGCAAACCACACCAGAGCACCCACCAACCACCCACTTGGTGAAGTGGGGGAAAATTCATGTAAAGTGCTTTTCTCAAGGACATAACGTTGGGTCTGAGGCTCAAACTCCCCGACTCGCAAATGACACATACACAAACCAAGGAAGGTGCACAAACCCATGAATGACATCAACCATTAAAAATGATAATAGTAATAGTGTTTATATATTCGTAGTAATACGAATTCTCAATATTTTTTAAAAACTGATTTTTGCACTGGAGTGAAGGGCTGCGCATCTTAGGCATATGGGACACAGCTGGCTGGAGAGGAAAAGATCGGCCAATACAGAATACAGGCAGAGAGCCCTTCTTGGAGGTCTGTACCCAACACAAAGAAGAGAGAAGTGAATGATGAAGGGCTACATTCCAGTAGTTGATCATCATCATTGCCTTTCTCACCCTGCATTGCAGATTATAGGCCATGAACAAACACTTTCCGCCTTTCTTTATCCTGGGATACCATCTTGATGTTATTCCATACGTCTTTCCACTTTTCTGTAAATCAATGTTTGTGATTCTTAGTAGTTGATGTTCTCCCATAAAAGATTGAAAAATCACAATTTATTGCTCACAGAAGCAGTTTTTCAGCCCTTGAATTTTGATGTATTGAAATTTAAAAGAGGACACTCTAAAAGTATAAGCAATTGATTTCAGTGCACTCCACAAAGTACATTCCATGCCAAGGAGTATTTTTTTTTTTTTTTTTTAAAGTATCCAACGAAGTCCAGAAGATTTTGGCAAGGGCTGAAAGTGGGAAAGGGGACGTCTCTCTCTTTTTGCACCATTTGCACCACTGTCATTTATTACAGAGTAAAAGAAACTAAGCATTTACGAGAAAATACAGAAGCTTACGGGGATTCTGAACCATCAATCGATAACAAAAACCTGCTTGATATTTTATTTTGTGTAGATACATATCTGCATTTTCTCTATGCTCCCATCCTCAAACAGGACATTCAAATTTATGATATTGATAATGGCTGAAGCTAAAGTGGTTTTACTGGTTTTGTGATCCAAGCATCACTTTGTACTGAAAATACACAAACAAAAAAGCCATTGCACAGAGCACTTACAAGAAAAAAAAATAAGGATCCCCACCCCCTCCCCCCCTCCCCCCAAAAAGGAACTAAAACATTGACAATGAATAGAGGATGCCCTTTTCCTCCAAGTGTTGCTGATTAACAGCATGCGGTGTCCAGGAAAATTATAAGATTTCACTCTACTGTGTGTGATAATGCTTGACAACAGGAAAAGAAGAGTGTAAATAGGAAGCAGAGCTCATTTGTGAAGAAGTTGAAATGTTTGGCGATATTTTTTTTAATGGGATAAACGAACTGAAACAGCAACTCAAATTACCGCCAATTAAATTGGCTGCAACACTAAGAGAGTCGCATTGAACAATGGTAAACAGAAAAAAAGGATAAAAGAAGTGATACAATGGGACAAGAAGTGATACAATGGGACAAGAAGTGATACAATGGGACAAGAAGTGATACAATGGGACAAGAAGTGATACAATGGGACATAAGGGGACATTTTCAGCTGACAAGAAACCCAATCCGAGATCTCTAAAACAGAAAAACTGTTAAGAATCACAAAACTCACTGGATCTCTTTTCCATCTTGCCGTGCTGGTGGAAGCAGCTAACCTCATTCGTGCTGAAAGATCGCATGAAGTTGTTTTTGAGGTGACCCGCTCGTCCGTTCAGCAGCGATTCCATACCTTGCATGGAAGACGACTGACTAGCGATAGGTGAGGGATCCCCAGAGCTCAGGCCAGAATCACGGCTTGCCTTGGCTGGGAGGAGTAAATAATGATAAGGATGAGCTTTTTAAATTATTTTTTTGCTAAAGTAAAAATTTTAAAGCACTCTCAACACACACTGGTCATTAAGTGTCCAAGATAGATGTGTTATCAGCGAGTAACAATCAAAGAAAAGAAGGAGGTGAGATAAGGATGATAGATGTTTGACAGGAAAGAAGGAGCAGACCACGACAGAGAATCTTTCAACCACCCACCAAGGGTTCTTGCTGTATCACTTATATGACTTTGAAGGTGGTGAAAGAATGAAAAGTCTAAAACAGTAACAAGGTAAAGGAAAACACTGACAATTGGTCATAATATATGCCCAAGATTAGATGTGTTACTAGTGAGTAACAGTCAAAGAAAAGGAGGGGAGATTTATAAGGATAATAGATGTTTGATAGGAAAGAAGAACATTTTTATTTCCAAAATGACCACTTTTCTTCTTGACAGAGGGTGGCTGTCTTTGACAATTTCGACTATTATTGGAAACATTACCTGCGGCTGGTATCTCCACTGCCAGGTCTGAGAGAGTCATGTCAGGTTTTTTCACTGGCCGTGGGGGAGCCCGTCGTCTCAGGGGCACCGGTGGGACAGGCAGGGGGTGGGAGCGGAGGCTGCCCGCACTGCTCTCCCTACTCTCGCTGCCACTGCTTGGGTAACTGTCCTCATCTGTGAGCACAGAGATACGCAACATAACAACAGCTTTAGCATTTGAGACCCACAACATAATGACAGTTTTAGCATTTAAGGCACGCAACATAACAACAGCTTTAGCATTTGAGACCCACAACATAACGACAGTTTTAGCATTTAAGGCACGCAACATAACAACAGCTTTGGCATTTAAGGCACGCAACATAACAACAGCTTTAGCATTTGAGGCACGCAACATAACAACAGTTTTTAGCATTTGAGATACGCAACATAACATTTGAGATACGCAACATAACAATAGTTTTAGCATTTGAGGCACGCAGCATAACATCAGTTTTAGCATTTGAGACATGCAACATAACAACAGTTTTAGCTTTTGAAATAATAATCCTGAAAGTTGTGCTAGACAATATATAAATGTGTGAGTGTGAATGTGTGTGTGTGTGTGTGTGTGTGTGTGTGTGTGTGTGTGTGTGTGTGTGTGTGTGTGTGTGTGTGTGTGTGTGTGTGCTTTTACTCAACAAAGACAAGTCAATCATGCATGATTCCTTTACTGTCAGTTTTTTTATGCAATTAACTTTGATTTGATGTACGACATGACTATATTCCTACATGGCCGTATTGACAAGTAAAAATACCCTTTCCCTCACTGTTTCAAAGAAGTAATTTCTTTTTCTCAGCTGATGACCTTCAACTTCATCTATCTACCTCATCTCTCCTCCTTGTCTTTGTACACTACTATCTAGTAACATCTCTACTCTTCGGCACTTACATGACCTATTTGTTATTGTAAGTGCTGTAAAACTCATACTAAAACAAACTGACACTTCATCCACTTACCTGACACATCTCCCAGCCGGATTGAGCTCATCGACACTGCCACGTTGGGACCCACTACGGAATCGCTGGGCTCTGCCGGAGAACCTGACACACTGCTCTCCTGTGTCACACAGAAGAAAACACACTCATAAGCAGTGTAAATGTAAGTGTATGGATTTAACACCCCTTTCAACACTATTAGGTTATTTAAGAGGCAGGACCTCCGAATGTAATGTTTGTCTCTGACAGCATTAAACCAAATGGCTTGACAGCCTTGAAAACTCCACAATACAACCCAAGTTCAAGAATTCCCAGTCCGGGATTCGAACCTGTTTCATCTGCTCTGTAGTTCAGCATGAAGCCAACTCAGCTAACAGTGTGCCCATTCATAAGCAGCACAGATATACAGACATCCAGACACAGAAACCAGAAACAGAAGCAAGAACATTAGAAGTTCTAGAGTGACCCATACCTCAACTTTAATTTAACAAAAAAAGGAGTTTTTTAAACTTTAAAATATCCGGATATGACAAATTGTCAATGGCTGTTTTTGACTGCCTTCTTACATAATTGTCTCCCAAACTGTTATCTTTACAGAACAAAGAATCAAATAATGCTATTTCCAAAAGGAATTATGAAGAAAATCTTCCCATGAAAATAAAAGAGCATAGACTATCTAAAGCAGAGGAGTGAAACTCAATCGCTTGGGAGGGTTCAATCAAATTACACTTAAAGTTACCGGATTAAGTGGATAAACACTCACTGAGCAGTGGAAAACTGAACCCCCTTTCAACACTATTAGAGGCAGGACCTCACAATGATATGAATTAAAGCAGATAAATAACAAATCAAGGCACATCAAGTTTTACTCTTTTAATATAGTGTAAAGCGCACAGAACATGATGTCAAGCCGGGATATGCGCTATACAAACGTTATTTATTAATATTATTATTGTTATTATTATTATTACTACTGTTTTACCAGTTTGTCATGCATCTGGATGTTTGGCATATTTTCTTGGCAGACCTTGAGTTTGACACCTGTGATCTAATACCCAGTGCACACTGCCGATCCAATTTGGTCAAATTCGTTAAAATTGAGTTGGGGCCAGCAAAATTTTTCTTCATGGACTGAGGAAAACTACCATTGTGGCACAATTTGAATGAATTCAATCATGACCTTCAAAAACAAACATGTTGATTTTCAAGGCCGCAAGTCGAACGATGGGATTGCATAGCATTTCGCGCAGAATGTAGTAATGAACAGTGTAGATTTGGAGAAGCCGATACTGATTGATCTAAAAAGTTACCAACATTTCAATACAACAACCGCGATAAAAAGTAGTCAACACTTGAAGCCGTGTTGGGAATGGTATGTTTTGAGTACTATAATAGCTCGCACCCATCAAAGATTTCTGCTGCTTGTCAACTTTGACTAATGAGGGAGGGATCTAATCTATTAGTAGTGTGCCACCAAAATTCGACCCTACACGACCCGGGCACTTGGTATAAGGTGATTACCTTGAGTCCCTGAGACCCGCCACTGCCAGCCAGGTTGGTCAGTTGGTCGTAGCCCTCATGAGTCGTTGGGAACCGGTTGTGGTACTGCTGCATGCTCTGGTTGGTCTCAAGGAAGTGCCTGCAACACAGAGTTTTCAAAAAATGGGTGGTTGGTGGGTGCTCTGGTGTGGTTCGCTTCTTCTTTTCCATCAAGCAACTATCTTTATCATCTCTCATCCTTCTTTTGTTTGTATGTTGCACTCTGGTAACACCATTAATCTTCGACACATATATGAATTGAGTTATGAGGGAGTGTTTGCATGCTTTACATGTGTGTGAGTCTATGAGTGTGTCTATGTGTGTGTGTCTATGTGTGAGTCTATGTGTGTCTATGTGTGAGTCTATGTGTGTGTGTCTATGTGTCCACATGAACATGTGTGAATGTGTGCAGATGTGTCTGCGTGTGTGTTACTGTGTATATGAGTGTGTGTGTGTGTGTGTGTGTGTGAGAGTGTGTTACTGTGTAAATGTGTGTGTGTGTGTGTTTGTTTGTGTCAGCATGTATGTGTTTATGTTTGTGTTACATGGTCTCTGTACATATATGTGTGTGTGTGAGTGTGTGTGTGTGTGTGTGTGTGTGTGTGTGTGTGTGTGTGTGTGTGAGTGCATGCATGTATGTGAGAACACATGAGCATGTACACATGTGTACGTGTGTATATGTATGTGACTGTGAATAAGTACAGTATGTGAGAGTGTTGGCATCCACACGCATGTAGGGTGGAGACTCACTTTTGCGTGCGCTTGCGCTCCTTATCTAGTTTGCGTTCCAATGCTGTCTGTGTGATGCGCAGCGAGTCCATCTGTACAAGAAGCATGTTGGAAAGCTCACTGCTCAAGGCCAGGATGTCTGGACGGTGGTCAGGGGAGATTGTCAGGCAACTAGAGGACCACATTTGTGGATGGAATGCGAGGGGAGAGGAGGTGGGGAGTTGAGAGAGAGAGAGAGAGAATTAATTTAGTTTTGTTTAGTTTTGGAGGGGGAAAGGGGGTGAGAGAGAGAATTGATTTATTTTTGTTT